AGCTTTTTCTGTGCATTGTCCACACCTCACAAAGAGGTGACAACAGCACAGGAACCCAGGGCTGCTGACTCCAAACTCAAAGGCTTTGACCAGGGACAACTCTTTCAAAAGCTTTCTTTATCTGCTTATTTTCCTCCCACTAAGTTGCCCTTTTCATAACCACAAGAGAGTTATTTCATCTGTGAGGAGCAACTATGTCCACGCTCTCCTGGATAACACAGCAGGAGAGGGAGCTATGGATATTCAGAAATGGACACCAAACTTGCTAAGAAATAACAGGTTTTATGAGGTAGGGCACAGCATCTCGATTTGATGAAGAGAAAATGATGGCTCACAGAAATGGCAAGATTCAATCCTTGGATGGCTTCCAAACCACACTCTCTCCCTCTGGCCAAGGTGTTGTGGCAGGCATTAGAACTCTCTCCCACTCTCTGTCTCTGGTTTAATTCTTCAGGCCCTCTCCCTCGACAATGACAGGCCCCTCAATCCTTCTCCACTTTACTCTCAGCTGTAGGTTCACACCTGTGTTTTCACCAAAGCACTTGCAATGCCCAACCTCCACAACACAAAACATTTACCAGAGATGGTCCTATTGCTTTCAGACTATAGAATCCACAGCTTTAAATCTCTACATTAAACTATCTAGCTTTGATTTTGCCATTAGAAAGCAAAACTATTCCAAAGGAAACAAGATTTTTACCATATTCCATGGCTGTGCTCAAGAAGAACTTGAGATTTACAAACTGTGAGGGATTATTGTTACTAGTAACTTCTATTATCTAGAGGTTGGATGAAATACACGATCATCTAGTTCACCTGTGGGGCAAAGCGTGAAGGAAAAATCAAGATATAGAGAGGGAAGCAATTTCTCCACGCTCCACCAACACACACAGATGACATTTTAAGAGGCCTGCATGCCAGCAGCTTCTAAGGTCCATTTATGAGGACAGGGTCCCATTAAGATTTGATTAGGTGGTATTTTAATTAGTATGTGAAGCTGAACATCAGTCAGTAAAAACACCTTCTGCCAGAAACATGACTGCTCACCACTGCCATCCTCTGGACGAGATATCTGAGAGGACACCTCCACACACAGCACACTGGCAAGGCAATGTTGAAGCTACTACCAGAAACACTCCTTTACTTCAGTCTGAGTTTTTCTTTCTTAATTACTTATAGTCACAAAATAGAAAATTAACTAGAAATAAGTGAAAGATAAATTCTCTGGAGAAATAAAAGTAGTTGTTCTTATTCATTTAAGAATCAAACTTCTCAAACAAGGCAAACCACCTTCATTAGTTTCCAAGATCAAATTTTATGCGTGGCAAGAAATGTGTGGTGACTCAGTATGATGACATGAAATAATGCTGACACTGTACTGGCAAATGTAACCAGATATTATCTTGACAACGTTCAGAAAAGCTAAGTTAAAGGTTTATAAGTAGGTCCAGGGTGGCACAACCGCTTGTTCTAAGCTGCGTAACTAGAAGTTGAGATTTTTGAACACGGCCTAGAGGCACTGGGATTTGCTCATTTACTTCTGTAAAGATTAAAGCAGCACAACTTACTTTACCTTCTCAGCCTTAATTTCCTTTTATATAAAGCAGACTCAGGTGTTGTCACAAATTCTTGAGAGAATGAAATGTGATAGCAGAGTGAGGGTTTCTAGGCCCTGTTTCACCTCACCATCGTTGCTCTCTGTCTTCTTTAGTGTACTCCTCTCAGCTAGAAAAGACCCACTGGAGGGAACCAGGCCAGGCTTCTTCCTCCAGCTCCTGAAAACAAACCTGCTAGCCAACCTCACGTGGCTCCTGGGCACTGTGACCTCAAATGCTTACTGCATAGCAGGAAAGGAAGTATTTTGTGCCCTGTTTACACACAACAGATTTAAGATACTCAATAAACACCCATCTGGTTGATGAAGCATTCCATCCTAGACCTTTAAGGATCTAGAGGACAGAGCTTCCTAAAGAAAAACAAGTTTTAACAACATTCTTCCAAGAAGCAGCACTGTGGAAAACTTGAGTCTTATATTTTCAAAAAACCAAACTAGACTCTCATGCACCCTCCCAAAAAATCTGACTCTAATTCACAATATTTCTCTTCAGCAATTTTGTGACAGTTTAAGCAGTGATCTGTTTCACCTCAAATGACCACCAAGATAGTAGACGCGGTGAGGACATATTCGGAATGGGAAATTCTCCACCTATGAGGACTAGTGCTACACAAGTCCAGAAGGAGAGGAGATAGCTGTGTTTCCGTACCACAAACTTGTGATTTTTCAAATATGCCTTGGTTGCATAACAATGACAACCATGTCTGAACAGTTTCCACTCACAGTAACTCATAAAGTAAAGCAAAAGGATGAGAGGTTGCTGCCTGGTCAATTTAAACTTGTGGGGACCACATGTGCTAAAGAACTCACTGAAAATTCATGCCATCAAGTTGGAACTGATTACAGCTGACTCTTTCCTAGGTTTTCAAGGCTGTGCTGCATGGGAGGAGCTCTCCATCTTTCTCTCACAGAGCAGAAGGTAGATTCCACTTTCCAGAAGCAAGGCCATTGGAGGGCAGCACAACTGCCCACAGACTAGGCTATTCCTGGGCAAAGGAAAACGTCCAGGAGGTATGGAGGTTTACCAGGCACTGCACAGCGATTTCTGACAGTCAAGACAGGAACCAGCTCGTGCCTCCTTTCTTCAGATGGAAAGGATCATCAGCTGCCTTCAGGAGAAACAACAAGCCACCTGCATTGCTTTAGCACTTAACTTCCAGTCAGAAGAGGTCTGTCTTTAAAAGTGAGCATCCTGATTTTGTATTTTAAAACTTAAAACAGCAGAGCCTACAAAATACAGGTTAACAGAATTAAAATGTCTATTTACCAATTCAGTTTAATATGGTAATCTAAAAAAAATATTAATTTCCTGCAAAATGAGATATTTAGAGCAGTAAATCTTTAGGTATGAGACTATTTAAATTGCCTAAGGAACGAAACCAAAATACCCAATCCGTAAAGTTCATTTCAAAGCCAACTCACCTAAGGTTTGCTATGCTATTGTCACTCATTATCTGATAAAGCAGGTGGAGAAAATATTTTGTTTGCTAACCCTTTTCTGCTTTACACACTTTAAAACTCACCCTGACTTGGTGCCCTTGTGGTTCTTTTCAGGAAATGTCACCTTGTCATCCTGCTAGAAGCTAACTCGGGCACATGAATTCTAGGGTGGGTGGTCATTTTAGCTTTCCTTTAAATGCCTCCAGTCTTTCTCTTGGTTTACCCAAAATGTTTCCATTTCTTTATTGTTTTTAAGGGAAGAATAGTGACTGTCGGTATTTAGCCATTCTGTTCGCATATGATATTACACAAAGCATTTCTCTAGCCCTTAGATTTTCTCAGACACAGTTACAATAATAGCCAGAAAAGATGTAGTCCATTTTCTTGTCTTCCTAGGTACTTCCAAAGTGTGGGTTCTTCAGGAACAAAATCAGAACAGCCTTTTCAGAAGACACTATTTGTCTGTGTACTAACAGATCAACTCAGGCTTTAGCAGAAGTTAAGGAACAAGAGACTGCAAATCCACAGAATTTCTCTGTGAGGCACCTTGTTAGCTGTGCTGGCTGCCACACCAAAAGCACACCACTCCAGCAATGGGACTGCAGCAATGGAGGAAAACTCCTTGAGAAGCAATTTTGGTAAACAGAAACTTGACTTAAAAGTTTAAGGGGAAGGTAGATTTAGTAATAAGATTGCTTGTTTTATCATTCTCTAAGCTTTGTTCTGCTCAGCTTCTTATAAAAGGTGCTTTCCAGGCAGAATGTTTTCATTACACACTGAAAATGTACCAGACTTTAAATTGACCTTAGACATTGCCCAACCTGACTAGCTAGATGGAGGATTTGAATATCAATTTAATATTTTTATTTAAAAAAAAAAAAGAAAGCCACAGCACTGGTGCTTGTCGGCATTGCTGTTATCTGCATCAGAGGGTTTTTATCTTACATATTTGAACATGTAAACTTCTCATCTAATTATTTTTCTTTTCAGTAAATTAAGTTTGTTACTGGGTTTAATACCAGTGTTAACAATTAGTAAGTACATGGTCTTGAAAGCAACCTATTTAAGATCTCCAGTCCATTTTTGGTTCACTGTCAGTAATTTGAACTTCGAATTTTAAAATTTTTGTTTTCGAATTTTAAAATTTATAATGGGTTAGTACAGGTACAGAATAATATCTCTTTAATGGACAGAAGTTTAATAAGAAAATTGAAACTACAAGTGAGATTCTAGTGTCCCTGTAGGTCATTACTTCTTCCTCCTCAAAGAAGATGGAAAAACCACCTCATTTTCAGACTAGTACCCTCTACCTTCCAGTTTTCGGTCTGTGTTCACTGTCTTCTGTCTAATGTTCTAGGAGGGTTTTTACTGTGAAAAATCCCAGAAATAGTGATAAAGATGTTTTACCATGGTAATATGCTTCATAAATATTTCTACATAAAACTTTTCAGGTATCTTTATTCATTTCTGGAACAGAATAATAAACATTTTGACATCTACTGATAGCCAGAAGCGACAATTTCCTGCTAAGCAAACTGATACATTATACAACTGATAGACTAATTATAAATAAGTATGCTGTTGCTGCAGTCCCGTCAGAGGCAACACTACACTGGGACTTCAGAGGCTACAAAGTGCATAAGTATTTTATATTCATTTTTACTGGAAAAATAGTTGTCACTCTCAGTCACCAGGCCTTACACATGCACTGCCACAATATTCGTTGAATACTGAGTTTCTGAGGCAGTACATCTCTATGGGAGGAACCTATTCAACTTCCTGCCCTGGAGTGGCTGGTTGATTCAAACTGTCAACCTTTTGGTTAGCAGCCTGGTATGTTACCTACTCTGCCACCAAGGTTTCTTTGAATACAGTACCCAAAATGTTGAGGTACATATACAGATTTCTCCCACCTTCAGTGTCCTGGGCTCCAGCCCTGACTTACCTCTTTATGGGAATCTTTGTGAGCTTCCAGAGTTTTCATGATTGTAAGTTCGGCATAGTTTTTAAATCTTGCTGGCTGGTTTCTTAGGATTTCCCTTAAGACTCTCAATGCTAGAGCTCGGATTGAATGCTGGAGTAGGAGGAAAAAAAAAGAGCAAAAACACAACATTTTTAAACAATACTGGTCACAGCTTTTCACTAAACACACATCATCAGTGCCCAGCAGGGTGGCAGCACAACTCCTTACCCACTAGGCTACAAGAATTCCCTCAATTTATGTCAATGAGTTTCTAAAAAATGTGTCCATGTTGTTGTGCTTTTAAAATTTCTTGTAGTTCCTGAAATATTTTCCCATTGACCTTTTTATTTCAGTGGATTCTCTTGTGATGCCAACCATTTAATTTCTTCTTATTTGTATCTTTTCTCTTTTGTTAGATGTGCTTCTAATTTAGCAGTTTTATGAAAACCTTTTGAAAAAAATCAACATCTAATCTAGTGTTGATACTTTCTATTGTTTTTCTGTCCCATTTATTTCTGCTCAAATCTTTTTCATTTTCTTTCTGCTTGATCCTCCCCTTGCCCCCATTGTTGCAGATGTTGGGCTAAGGTCTTGATTTGAGGTCTTCTTTTTTCATGTGTTTATTGCTATAAATTGACCTCTGAGTTATTGTTTTTGCTGTGACTCATTCATGTGTTGTGTTTTCATTATCATTTGCTTCAGTAAGTTTTTTAATTTCATGTTTTATTTCTTCTATTACTTAGTAGGGCATTCTGGTGGCCTAGAGGCAAGAAGCTGCATTTCAATCCCTAAGGCACGAGGGTTTGAGGCCACCAGCTACTCTGTGGGAGACAATCTCCTCCTGTGCAATGAATTGCCTCTGAAAACCTGCTGGAAGGTCAACTATGGGTTGGTTCTGACTCAATGGCACACAACAACCACATTATCTAATAGTATTTAAGCAGGATGTTATTTTGTTTCCAAGTACTTGGTAGTTTCCTCCCCTTACTCTCCTTGATGATTTCCTAATTTTAGAGCACTGTGATTTGAGCAAATGCTTTGTAATGTTTATAAATTTATCAAGGTTTATTTTGTGATCTAACCATATGGTTTATTTTGGAGAATGCGGCAAGTACACTGGAGAAGAACGCACATGGACCTCTTTTTAGATGATTTATTATCTATCTATCAATCTATCTATCATGGTTAACTGTATAGTTTAGTTGTTTTTGCTGAGTTTTCTTCTAAGTTGTTTTGCCCTTCATTAAAAGTAGTGTACTGAGGTCTCAGTACTATTATTGGAGGGATGTCTATTTCATTCTTCACATCAAAAGTTTGATGCCTGTATTTTGAAACTTTATCACTGAGGGCACATGTTTTAATTACAGTTAAGTCCTCTTATACCAAGGACGCTTTAATCATTGCTGTTCTTTCTTTTCTGTTATGCTGGCTTTTGCCCTGATGTTTATTTTATCAGATTAGTATTTCCACTTTTACTCTTTTCTGTTTACTGTTTGCTTGATACATTTTTTTCCTTATTCTTTAACAATTATTTATGTGTGTGTACGTATATATATGTGTGTGTGTGTATGTGATGTTGTTGTTGTTTGTTGTTTAATGCCGTCGAGTCATAGATGACTCATAGCGAACCTATGAACGAACAGCATGAACACTGTTCGTACATAGTTTCCGGAGGCAAGCCATTTTGGAAGTGGATGCCGCTCCTGCTTCCAGGCTTGATTTAGTCGGGAAGCTCCAGCCAACACTGTCCACCTTGGGTGCCCATTACCATGAGTGGCACATCAC